TCAGGCTTGCCTAATATTATTCTAGATAAAATATTGAGTTAGCACTTTTTAAAAATCGGCTCGAATCGAGCCGTTTAACAACACTGGGCGCAAGCTTACAATCACATGACCATCGCGTCTACCATAGGAAGTTTCTTCTTTAAAAGCTATTTTATATGCTATGGATACTCAAAAATAAGGATTTGTATTACGATTTTTCCATATTTTTATATTTTAATGGCGATGGATATTTCCGTTTTAATTGGCATATTTTTTTAGTAATTGAATTTTCGCTTTAAAGTGTATCAGTTAAATCGTAATCGAATCAGGAATTTATCACCCCCCCCCCCCCCCCTCCTCGTCCCCCTAAGTCTAATGTTGCGACCCCTGAAACAAATTCTAATGGGATGCAAGAAATACTGGTCAAAATTTTGGTGAAATTAAGGGAATTGGCCGAATTATCAAGAGGTCCAAATTAGATTCGTGCCAACTCCGAATGCAGGACCACTCTTATAGATTTTCGCAGTAAAGTTTGTTAAGGACGTTTCTGTAACACATTAAGTCAATAAAGCTTCAACGATGATACAATTTCGAATGGAAATTTAAAACGAATCTAAATTTTTTTTTATAGGTAAACAATGTTCGTCTTACCAAGGTAAATCTAAACCATATATACCACCCATATTAAATTAACTAGATCAGAATTCGACCCTGTTATAAGCCAGGAAATCTGTTTCTAATATAATTGGGTAAATTACTATATTTTTTACCCGTTTGCGCCAATCTCTAGCAGGAAAATATGACTTTTGGCCTCGGGGCTTTTCTTAAAATAGATAGTATCTCAATTTTTTCAAAGAAACAAATCTAAATTAAACCGCTTTAATGTTAAAGGATTTTTCTCAGGCAGGCGCCTGATGATTGAGCCGAAGGCCGACATTTAGCCATTACCCCAACTATAGTTTCTAACCATCATAAAATAAACCGAATGTTATAAATTGGCCTACGAATTCGAACAATAAAATTTACTCTTATTTGCAAGTTATTCGATATTCGATTACGTACACGAATAGCATAATTTTTCGATTCGAATTAGTTATTTTTGTAGGCCTATTTGAAAGTGCTTGTAAAGAGGGCCCCATTAGGGTTTTGACCAAAATAACATTATATGAGCCAGGAAATTTTGCTCATAGTTGGCAGAAAGGTTTAAATCTGAATGTTCAAAATTTCGAGGCTTACATACATACATACGACTCAAATAGGGTCGTTTTAACAACCACTATACTTAATTGATACGAATAACAAATTATTCAATTCGTTCTCAAAAGAATAGAATATATTGATAAAAGCCAGTACAAAATATAAATTTATTAGCGATCTTCATCGGGCCTAATTTTTCAAGCCTGGGCCGGCCCGAATTATAAATTTTTTTGAGAAAATTTACCGGCCCGACCCGGCCCTAATTAATCTAAATATGGAAATTAATTTTTATAATTACTCAAAATAAAAGACATGTATGTTATAATGGCATATAGTTCTGTAAATAAAATAAAATATCTTTGTTTTACATACAAAATTCAATATAAAATTGATAAATTTAAATATATTTAAATATATTTTAAAAAATTTCCAAGGCCCGACCCATTAGGCTTGAACCCAAGTTTAAAAAATTTTTTTTAGCGTACTTTATGCCGGACTTTGGGCCGGGCCTAGCAGATCTCTAAAATCAATTTTTTAAAAAAAATGAAGAATATGAAAAAATAGCTATTAATTTTGTAGACTTCCCTCATATACCATTATTAAATATTCTTCTCCTTTTTATTTCGCACTTTTTTTAAACAGAAGGAAAAAAAGAAAGAAAGAAAGAAAGAAAGAAAGAAAAATAAATTAATTAATTACGGAGTTTCATTTTGCAGACAAAACTGGATTAAATTTCAGTTATGTGATCTGTTTTTTTTATTGTTTTTTTTTAAAAAAAAAATAATATACTATTCCCGCTTTGATGACTAATAATAATATATTTTATGTAATTATTCTCGCGTTAAAAACTAGAAATCTGCAAGTTCGAACTTTTTTTAAAAAAAAATCGGGTTCGGGCTAGGTCGGGCCTAATATTTTTTAAGAAAATTCGGGCCGGGTTAGGTCGGTTCGGTTCGGGTCGGTTCGGTTAAATTTTTTTTTAAAATATATCTAAATTTATCAATTTTATGTTATTTATAGAAACTGGACGCCACATAACATATATCGTTTATTTTGAATAATTATAAAAATTAATTACTATATTTAAATAGTGTTGTATATGCAAATTCGAATGTTAATTTTGAAAAGTGATTATTCATAAATAAATGGTAGACGAAGATAATATTTTTGGGGTAATTTGTCTATGTAAATAATCTTAAATTGAACATAATATTTTTCTATAAATTTTATATATATATTCAAATATGCAAATTTTATATATTTAATTCTTCGAAAATTGTTTAATTTTTGTATATATATATATATATACATTGTTAATTCAAAAAAGTTCAGTTTTTGGATAATTTGGATTCTTCGAAAATTATTTTATTTTTTATTGACCGATGATTTTTTTGATTATTAATTTACAGACGATATTTTGATTATTATTTTGGATTTGATAGAAGTTGAATAAAGAGTAAAAGTAGTGAATTAGTATTAGAAATTATTAATAATTATATATTTATTTATTTATTATTAGTTCCATAGATATTCAGTCTCTCCCACTAGCCTCAGCAATAAATATCAATCCCATATTGGTACAAATAGGCAAATTTTTTTTAAAAAAATTTCGGATTTGGGGCCGGGTAAAACATTTAAAATAAAATTTCGGGCCGGGCTTGAAAAATTAGGCCCTGTGCAGATCACTATTAAAAACTACTACTAAATTGATAAACTGCTTCCTTATACAATTCTTTAATAAAGTTTGCGTCGGACAAATAAATTGACCTCTCGTTTTAAAATTTTTTAATGGTGATACGGGTAATCAAAATGGCGCCTCCAGCTGTTTTCATTGATGCACACTTTTTAATGAACGCGCCGTCAGTCTAGGTAATATTATTATGTCATTTTGGATAACTGTTACAAGTTTATTCTTGTTTACTTCTTTTAGAAAAATCAATAAATTTTTTTTTTTATTATAAATAAATTTAATTGGTTGTATACGAATAAAAAAAAATATCATAATATAATATACTAATTATTATGCTATATCTACATAATTCAAATTTAAACACAATCTGCAAAATTTACCACATTTGCGAATTTCGGAAATATTTTATATTTTATATTCATAAATAATCTAGATTTATAGTGAAATTTACTTAGGAAAAATATTAAAAGGGGGGTAGGGAAGTATAAATTATTGATGGATGTAAGGGGGTCAAAAATGAAGGGAGGGGGTGGTGATGAAGTCGCTAACGATGATGACCCTACTATTATATTTCGAATTGAACATTGTTTCAGGGAGTCATATATTTTTACGCACTTTTCTGGGATCAAAACAAATGATAACTCTCAGAGTAAAATGGTAATTAACGTAGAAAGAAGAAAAAAAAACCGCCGCGTAAAGTCAACTGTTTCAAAAAAAAATAAAAAAAAAATCATCCCATATTTCTATTTGGTATTTTGTTTTATAAGAACCCCCCCAAAAAATAGAGAATAATAAATATTCTGGATGAGTTTAGACCAGTATTGTCACGTGCTTCGATGCTTGTTTCTAGAAAAAGTTCTAATTCAATATTTTAGCCAGAAAAATATATCCTAAGTGAGACCTAAATCTTGAGGCTCGAATAATATTTTTATGGATAAAATATCGAATTAACCGAAAAAAAAATCGGCTCAAATCTAGCCGTTTTAATAGCGCTACTTTGGACGTAAACCGCAACACAACATCATTGACCCAAAAATATGTCGTTTAGTTTCGATAAATAAAATCAAATATTTTTATTTTACATAAAATTGATAAATTTAGATATATTTTAAAAAAATTCCAAAGTCCGACCCGGCCCGGCCCGAACCCGGTTATTTTAAATAGAGTTAGGCCCGAGTCCCCTTATAAAAATTTAAATTAATATTATATTCACTGGCCGGGCCTAATTTTGCAGATCTCTATTTCCCATGTTTGTTTGACACAGGAACAGCTATATCAGTTTATTATAAAACAATTCACATTTATAATAGTATATATATTATATATTAATAAATCTTAATAATTAATTGATTTATAGGGATATACTTTACCATCTCAACTGTTAACTGTAACCTCACTCTAATGACACGTATATAAATTAATTATCTTAATTTTTTTGGTATAATGTTTCATATCTTAAAAAAATCATCCCAAATTTCATTCAAATTATTGAGAATCTATCTGATGAGCCTATTATTTTTTTTCCTGACGGAATGAGGTTTTTTATAATGATTTATTTAAAATAATTCATTATTTTTTATTAAAACAAATTTCTAAACATTCTTTATAGAAGTAAAATTGTATACATAAATTTTTTTTTGCGAAAATATTAAGGTTTAATTTTTATTTTTGATGAGAATTCCATGTAACAGCTGAGAAAAATTATATTTTTTTTAAAAAAAAATAAAAAAAAATTATTTTGATATTTTTAAAACGTTTATTTTATAAATATAATTATAGTATAAAAATTATGATGTTATGTTTAATATGAGGGAGTTTATTGATTTATTAATTTGTGGAATAGAATTTGTAATCATTGACCTAACTAATATCACCTTCTATCTTGATTAAGAACTCTTTTTAATTATTTAAATTGCTAAAATATTACATGGTATAGTTTTTTTTAAAAATAAAATTCATAAAATTAAAATATTGTCTATGACTTGAGTTTCTTTTTTTGGTTGTCTTAATTCAAAATTAAGAAAATTTATTTTCGATAACCCACATGCAGTATTTTATGCTTAGTAAAACTTATAAAGGAGTTTAAACAAAGAAAAGAAAAGAAAGGAAGAAAGAAAGTTAAAATTTTTTTTACCTTATGAGGTGCTTTTAAAAATTTGTGCAAACTCGGAATTTGATTGTTAAGCGGAATCTGTAGGAAAAAGGAATACATAAGAGGTCTCAGGGGCTCAGGGGTCATTATGGTAGTATAACCGGAAGGGGAAGAATTGAATGGATCTAAATCGTCTAAAAATTGAACCCGACACGTGAACAACTGATTTCCTTCATCTTTAACGCGCGCCTTACCTCCGCGATGAATATAATCATTCGCGTTTTTACCGTTACGGTTCTCCAAAGAATTTTTGTTTCCATTCGGAATAATTGAGCCGTGCTTAGAATGATTGGCGTAACGAGAAGTTCGGTTTTCAAACTTATCGGAATCTATCCTATTGTTGGAATTCATTTTTTCATCCTTTAAGTTAACCATAATTTAATAAAATATATAAATTAGAAATATAAAAAAAAAAATTTTTGTTTTTTATAATAGTTTTATTATTTGCTCCTTTTAATTCTTCTCCTATAACTATTACATAATTAAATTTTATTGATTTAACTTAAAAACATCATTTAAATTTCGAAAAAATATTTTTTTAAAAAAAAAACACAAACCAATAATTAACAAAATATTTTAAATATTTCTTTTTTTTCTATAAAACAAAAAAAATAAAATAGTAATAGTATAATAAGTAAATGGTAGTTTTTGATAAAGAAATAAAAAATATCTGGTTTTTATCAATAATTATTTTCCAAATTAATTATTTTTTAATTTTAAGAAATGTAAGCTTTAATTTTAAAATATAAAATATATATATATTTTTTTTTATATTCAAGGTTCTGAAAAGTAAAATAACTTTTCTAAAAAAAAAATAAATGAAATAATTTGCGTTATTGGATTGGACATGCGCGCTATATATTTAAAAATAAAAATGATAATTTTTTAAAATTCGTAATTCTGGTTATATATGCCCTATTGCAAATCGGTCCACCGGTCTAAAGTTCCGGGGCATAATGATCCTAAAACAACTAGGACTGGGCCTAATTTTTTTATCAAAATAAAATTATGATTGGAGTTCCCTTTTTTGAGGCGATAAGGACAAAGCACATTCATTTTTTTAATAGAGAAAAAGTTTCAAATTTGCAATAATTTTTTATGAAGTTATTATATATATATATATATAATTTTTGGTTTATGGTCCTAAAACAAGGTCTTTCCGAGCGCTTGGGGGGGGGGGGGGTCTAAAGAAATTAAAAAACAATTCGGACGGTGTTTGAATGATTTATCAAAATAAAATGACAATTAGAATTTTTGATGTGACATTAGTGACATTTTTTCGTTGTTGCTTCATTTAACACGTGATATAAAAAGGCGTTGTCGGGCCGTTCTAAAAAAAAAATAAAAAATTTTGGACTAAAATCGGTATTCTCGAAAGTTCGTAATGATTTGTCTACTACTCAAAGCTTTTTATCCAGTCGTCGATATCCAAGTTAATTGTATCATTTTTTTTCTCCCTCATATAGTAAATGAAATTATAACTATCAATATTAAATCATTTTCAATAGTTTTTAAGTACTGTTTTGTTCAGTTGAACTCTACGGGAGGGGATATGATTCAGTAAATTTCATTAGAATGATAGGGGAGTCGGGTCATGTGATTCTATAGCATCGTGACCATTTTTTTGGAACCCCTCTGGGTACCTCCTCTAGTACCCCTATCACCCCCCACCATTTTTAAAATATTTATATCAAGTGTCAAATAAGTGGATGCTTGAGCATAAATATGAATTCGATCAGATGAACGGATTAAACACCAACAAATAAATTAAAAAATTTTGGATATTATAATAGCTATAGCTTTACAAAACAAACCGGGGCCATTTAGACCTGTCACATACGTCCCTCTTTAGGTTGTCCCTGGGAAAAAAATGTCAATGAATATTCCACCAAATGGTTAAAATCCTAAAATCCAAAAATGTCTAAAATTATGAAAATTTTAAATGTTTTTTAAATTATATATTTTTTTTTATCTATTTTTTTTTTGTTATTATTTTGCGATATTTTATCGAAAAATAAAGTTTTAGTTAGTTATATTACCAATCGCAATGTTAAAAGAATTTGTATTTTCTGTTATTATTTTTTTTATTATTTGAATCGACAATGCCACATGTGTTCATAATTTGATATATTAAAACAGTGGCCATTTTCGGAAAACGTCTGTGGCCTAGTAGGTGAGTACTTATATTCCTAATCGCATTGATCTTGGTTGTTTGAATCTAGCCAAAGCCAAGATCAAGATCATTCTCTGAAACTAATTAGGTGAACGTGTGCTACGGGGTATGATATATAGTAAACCAAATGCAACCTGGTTACTACATTATTGTTTACCCAAATTACCATAAGTTGACTTATGCAGTGACTAACATTAACCAAACAAAAAAATGCTGATAAAAAAACATATTGAAAATATTATAATAAAAAAAATAATATTACCATTGTCAACCTCATAGTAAATGAATTTTATTCCCTATTCTGTCTTTTAGATTTTAGTAAAAAAATCTAATCATTGACAGAGTTTTAACAAATTTGTAAATTATTTTTTCCAGCAGGCTCTAGTTGTCCATGTTGCACAATGCAGCTAACGTATAATAGACATAATGTTTTTATGTAGATTAATTTTCTTTCAAAGTTTTCACCCACATTATAGGGTATCTCCCACTGACTCCCTATAGGGGTGTCAGCATAATTGGCTTATCAGGGGCCGGGAGCAAGTAGAAAGCACTAGTTTTTCTATCCAAAACCTATATCGTACCTTTAAAAATAAAGTATACATTCAACCACCACCTTGCAAGTAACAAAATAAAATCTAAAGGTCATAAATTCCTTCAGCTATTAGAGAAAAGATTCACATTTACAAAAATTATTTTTAGATGTAGATAATTTTAATAAATAATAAAATTTTATTTTTATTTTTCCTATAATAAATTAAATAAAAAAGATTCAAAATTTTATCATAAAATTTTAAATGAGAAATAAAAAAATAAAGCACAATCAAGAAATCTCTATTTATGTTTTGGTATATTTTAAATCACGCTAATGATTTAAAATAAATAAATATAATTTAAAAAAACAAAAACTGTGTTGAACCAGCTTAAACCGGTTATAAAGTTATAAATGGTTCGGTTATGGTTAGGAAAAGTCTTAGCGGTTCATTATGATTTTGCTGTTCTGTTCAGTTTGGTTCTACATACTATATTAGAAATATACAATACGTAGATTTATAACCAGCCTGACAAGACTATAATGTTATAAGTTTATTGTAACATATTGTTCCGAAACGGTGAAAAAATATAAATATGGATTATAATTAACCAGAGGCCAATTTACATCATAATACACACAAAAATTATAAGAAATAATATAACGATCGATTTTGCAAATATAGACATCTTCGCTGCTAAAATCTGATTTATTAAACGTTTTCATCATTAAAATTTTCAGAGTTATGCTACAATGCTATGCGATCCTCTCTTTATGTCAATTAGATCTGCCTACAAATTTCAGAGTGTATGCAACAAGGTTAGTTTTATCTTCTATATTTTCCGCCTTAAGATTAAGTCCATAATGGATAAAATATATCATAAATCATATGTTGTTATCTTTTCTGGTTGACCTTCGAAATGTCCAAGAGTATTAAATTCCTGCAGGCTCTCAATTAGTCTCAATCTAAACAATGACTAAACGTAATTTTGCCCCCTTAACTCATCTTGGTCAAACCTATTTAGCTTTACCGATATATGTCTCAATGCTCTCATTTACGGGTTTTCAATTAAATAAAGGCTATTCGATCCTTTGCAACGCTGTCCTCGCAAATTTTCGAACCATGGAGAAATTACGAGCTTTCAGCTCATAAATCTTATTTTTAGTAAAAATAAATTCTTAAGAATAGCAAGATCTTGTATGCTCTCTCAACATTTATATTCTGTTAAACTAAAAAATTTTCAACGTAAGAGCTGAAATGGTTTGTAAAATATCTCTAACATGCCTCATAACTCTAAGTTAAACTTACAAAGATAAATAGCGGGATAGGTATCTGTTCACTATTTCCCATTCCATCTGTGGCTTCATTTAATCCAATATTGCATGCTCCAGTATTTTAAACCTTAACGTTTCTATCCAACTCCTCGCCAACCCCTTAACAACCTCATCCTAATAAAGGGATTAGGACATTCAGATGGGTTTAAATTAAATGCATACCTCTATTTGATCAATTTTACTATCTCCACATTACTTCCTTAACCGAGGCTCAAATTATGAATATGATTAACTTGATGAGTTTAACAAGGGGCATTTACCTATTTTGAATCGCATTTTTTCCTACACTTCCAAATGCGACAAACTCAGAGTTTATAACCTTTTTTTTTGCAAATATAAAAGTGGTCGCTCTAAAGCAGTTCTTATCCCTTTATCTCTCTCATAAATCACTAGGTTTATTTGATGATAGTTTCTACCAGGTGGGATCATAAATATTTTATGGAATGAAGGTTTCTCGTATGAAATATTATTACTGGCACAGACCTCTTTCTGTATCCAATATCGATCATATATTGTCTGCCGATATTATATACTTTAATTAATATATTGATATATCTATATTTTATATTAAAATAACAGTGGTCTACGACCTGACCACAATTATGCAGAGGCTCTTCCTCGAATAATTACGCTCGTTTTATACAAGGGTGCAAGGCTAACAAACCTTGTAATCCACAAAAATAAATTACGTGATCAAAAGTGCCTCTAAGAAGCAATCTTTATCTTTTGTGATATTTCTCATATCCAAGGATTATTTTTGTCAACGAATTATAATTTCTAATTTCTGTTTTACCTCATTTCCCGAATCTCATAAGCTGTAAGGAAGTAATTTAGGAAAATTAAGGTATGCAATGATATAAAAATATACTCAGTGTTCTATTACAGAAGGGTTTTAATATTACTTTATTCCAAGACTCAGCATATGTTAGTAAGATTGTTACATACTTCTTCCAAATTTTTCTTGAATTCTTTCCTGTTGTTAGTGCTGTGTTCACAACAACCTCTTAAAATTAAGTATGTATAACTTTTAATTGCATGCCCCCTCCTCTTGTTATAACATAGTTAAACTAACTACCCATATAAAAATCCTAGTGATCAACAAGTTTAATTACTTTCATTTTTTCCAACAAATGTAATTTTTTTAAATAATTTTACCACATTAATATTTATGTGTAGCTAAGGATGTTGCGCCAATTGAAATCGGAATGGCCTATGAAAAAGCACACATAAGGATCCGGCATTATTCTCGATGTTATAATTGGCTAAAAATATTAGCACATATAATCGATAAAAAAAAACCTATAAAGGACTGGATTGTTTGTTGATAAGGACTTTCACTTCCACTTATTTTACGTTAATTTTAGTTATTGAAGGATAATTATTTTCGATGTAATCTTTTAAGTAATTTGTCCGTTTGATTCATTTCGACTATGTTTGCTGTATACTAACGATGTT